GGGGCCAGGGTGACCAACGGAGCCGGGCTCCTCTGGGGAGGCCCCTCCGCTGGATTTTGCAGTCCTGGCCGTCAGCCTTAGCGGGGGCCTGATTCCTAAGGTGCCCAGACCTAGGCATTCCTAAGGAACCAACGACACCTTAGAGTCTTCTCTATGCCCCATCTCGTCCCCATTGCACAGATGGGTAAATTGATCCCCGGGGAGGAGAGGCTGGTCTACGACCGTATAGCGAGTGAAGGAAACAGTTGGACTCAAGACTTCAGTTATTTAGATTAACAGCCCCAGGTCCTTCCCACGACTGTTTCCCAGGAACCTCTTTCTTTACCTCTGAGTGGTCTTCCGGTCGGTGTCGAGTCGCGGCGGGCAGCTGCAGGTTAAAGACCGCCCGCTGCGTGGAATTTTTTTTTTTTTTTTAAATGCAACCTGTTTGGAATACCTGGGTAGTTTTTCACAAGAGAGTGGGGCAGGTCTTTGTGTTTGCAATCAGATAGCCTCTCCTTCCTCCAGGTCTGTTGCTCCTATTCTGAAAGGCTTGTTTAACTTTGTTGAAGGTGTTGCATACTTCTGGACCTGAAATCAGATGGCTCAGGTTTGGTCTGTCCGCTCTGCTAAGTTTCTGTAGCTGTAGATGCATTAACTTCCTTGAGCCTTATTTTTCCTATCTTTTAAGCGGAGATCTCTGCATATCTCACAGGATTAAATTCAGTCTAACAAATTGTGTTTATTCTGTCAAGCACTCTGCCATATCTAGGGAATGCAGTTTTGGAAGGAAAAAAAAAAAAAAAAAGCCAGACCTTTGCCGGGACGTTTAAGAAGTAATTATAAATGTGATGAGTGTTAGGAAAGAACAGTGTTGGAAATATATAACTTAGGGCTTAGGAAGATCCCTTCTGCAGAGCAGAATTTAAGATGAATTTTGAAGGATAAACAGCATGAAGCTTGGTGAGAGGACGAGCACCTTTTCAGGCAGAGGTTTGTATCAGAACTGTGTCAGTTGAAGCTCTTTGTAGGGATCCCTGTTCAGCTGAAAAACAGGACAGCCCAGCACATTCATCATTCACCACTCATTCATTGAGCCCTTAATATGTATGAGGTACATACTAAATGAGGCACTTGGCCTGGTGGCCAGGAATACAGCTGTTACCATGGAGTGTAGGGGGGCAGACAAGTAAATCAGGGATGGCTTGCCATATGCACTGTCATAATGCACTGTGTGAGTACAGGGCTATGGGAGAATAGAGAGAGGAATACCTGAGCCAGACTTCCGAGCTTTGAGGAGGAAATGGGAGGATAAGTCTTGCAAAACTTACTTAGCTGTGTGGTCAGTCTGGAAAAAGGATTTCCAGGCAAAGAGTACAAGTGCAGGGACATGGTGATCTGGACATGTGAAAGACCATGGCTAATTCAGTGACTGAAATTCTAGTAATGCTTGGAGAAACGGAGGAAGTGGGAAGTGGTGGGTCAGATATAAAGGACCTTGTAAATTGTGCTGCGTAACGTGGATCTTAGGAAAATGATGTGGTCAGATTTATGTTTTAGGAAGTTTAGTTTGTCAAGGCAGAAGGGACATGATGGCAGAGTAGACCAGTGTTGGGAAGCTGTTGCCATAGTCTTGGCCTGAACTGAGACAGTGACCATGGGAAGGAGAGGAGGGATGGGATTTGAGCAGTATGTATTTATGTATTGTTTTTTAATATGGGGGGGGGCAGAGGAAGGGGGATAGGGGATCTGAAGCAGACTCTGCACTGATAGGCTGACAGCGGTGAGCCTGGAACTCAGCAGCCAACCAGGAGATCGCAAACTGAGCTGAATTGGGACACTCAACCCACTGAGCCACCTGGTGCCCCTTGAGCAGTATTTAAAAGATAGAAACCATAGAATTGGAGGCTGATTATTTATGGAAATGAAGAGGGGTGCCTGGGTGGCTCAGTCGGTGGGGCATCTAACTTTGGCTCAGGTCATGATCTCGCAGTCTGTGAGCTCAAGCCCTCGTTCGTCTCTGTGCTGACAGCTCAGAGCCTGGAGCCTGCTTGGGATTCTGTGTGTGTGTGTCTATCTCTCTGCCCCTGCCCAGCTCACGCTTTCTCTCTCTCTCTCTCTCTCCTTCTCAAAAATAAATACACATTTTTTTAAAAAGGAAATGAAGAAATAGTCGTCTAGGATGAGTGCCTGGTTTCTGGCTTAGGGAACTGGGTGGTACCATTCACCAAGGTAGGTAATGTGAGAGGAGAGGGGTAAGTTGGGGAGGTGGCATGGAAAGAAGATGAATTTTGGACGTATTTAGTTGGAGGTGTTTGCAGCACATCCAGACAGATGTCGGAATAAGGTATCCCAATTAGAGGAAACAAGGGCAAAGGTGCAGAGGCATATATTCAGTGAAGCACCTGGAGTATCGGAGTTCGCCTGGAGTTTGTGGTGGAAGTAAGACCAGGAAAAAAGGTAGATAGATGGCTGCCAAGTTGTGAAGGGCTTTTGACGCCTCGTTTGAACGCGTTTGGGTTTCATTCAGCAGTTGGCAATTTGCTTATCGTTTGAGTTGCACTGGTCCAGCATAAAGAAATGTCTGTAGGAGGGAAGACGTTTTTTTCTGTAGGAATTGCCTACCTTTTTCTTCACTAGAAATACTTTTGTCAGTCAGGTGGACGTAATTTATGTCTGAGAGGAGCTTAAATAAAATGGTAGCAGTGAAAAGCATTTTGTCAGGGTACAACCTGTCATGCCAGCCCAGACTGGTGGTAATGTTAAGTTTCAGTGCGTGTATTTTTGCTCTGAGGAGGTTAGCTGTTTAGTTTGTAAAATGGTTTGTTTCCAATCTGGAGGGCGATCTTTTTTCTCACCCCCTTTTTTTGGTTATACGTACGTAGGTTTAGCTGCGATTATTTTTGTAACCAGGAACTAAGCCTTGTAAAAGTGACTTCCTCCTTTTGGTTTTCTGTGAAGCACTTGATGCATTTTACAGGTGCCTGGGTGGCTCAGTCGGTTGAGCGTCTCATGTTGGCTCAGGTCATGATCTCACCGTTTGGGAGTTTGAGCCCGGAATCCCCAAATCAGTCTCGCTGTTGTCAGCGCAAGGCCCTTCCTAGACCCTCTGTCAGCCTCTCTCTCTCTCTGCCCCTCCCTGACTCGCCCGCACTCACTCTCTGTCTCTCTCTGTCTCTGTCTCTCAAAAATAGACTTTTTTTTTTAAAGACACATTTTACTTAAACGAGCAAATACAAAGTGTCATTGGAAGTTGAACTCTCTAGTTTGAAATTAAAATTTTTTTTTTTTAATGTTTATTTATTTTTGAGAGAGAGCGCAAATGGGAGAGGGGCAGAGAGAGAGGGAGACGCAGCATCTGAAGCAGGCTCCAGGCTCAGAGCTGTCAGCACAGAGCCTGACACGGGGCTCGAACCCACAAACCATGAGATCATAACCTGAACTGAAGTGGGACGTATAACCCACTGAGCCACCCAGGTGCCCCTGTCTGGTTTGAAATTTAATCTGAGGTTGAAATCTGAGGATCCTCAAGCCACATCTTGCCCACTCCTAGTGATTATTCCTTTGAATTGTCATCATTTTCTTTTCTTTTTTTTTTTTTTTTTTTTTTTTACTTTCTATTAACGTGGCTTTCATACTTAAACTTCGCCTTCTCTACTACAACCAGGCTAATCTTTTAAAAAGAACCATTTTCATCTTTCCTGGCTTCATATTCCCAAAGAATTAAATCTAAATTCCCTTGTCCAGTTTACAAAATTCTCCACATTAGACCCTTAATTAGCTTTCATTGGATAGTACAGGTTGACATTCTGATTTAGAAAGTCCTGAACCCGTGGCATTTTATTTATACCTCTTGTGCTTCCCTTTTGCTCCTTATTACATTAGAACAGGGTTTCTCAACATTGGCACAATTGACATTTTAGGCTGGATGGTTCTTCATTGTGGGGTTGGCCTGCCTGTACATTGTAGGATTTTAGCAGTATCCCTGGCCTCCACCCATCAGATGCCAGTAGCACTTGGCTCCGTTGTGCCTACCCAAGATGTCTCCTGACATTGCCTAGTGTCTCCCGGAGGATGAAATTGCCCTTGATTGAGAACCACTGCATTCGAAAGTATCATAACTATGTTTGTGCAGTGTTATCTCTCCAATTAGATTTTCTAGGGCAGGCTTCATGACCATGCTTAGCACAGTATACACACATCATAAGCACTGGATATTCTGTAGTGAATGAATCATTTTTCATTGAGGCAGCAAGAATCATTGTTTGTTTAAAGGAATTTCTGGGGTCCTTGAAGGACTTTCATTTTTGCTTTTTTCCTCAGAGGGTGTGATCTTGATAGAGAAATGCCTCTGATTAGGCACTCACCCAGAAGGAAGCTTTGGGTTAGTTGACAGTGCAAGTAAGCAGATTTATATATCTCTTACATTGAGGATATATACATTCCTGTTTTATTCATGTTGCCTTCTTTTCTTTTCTTTTTTCTTTTCTTTTCTTTTCTTTTCTTCTCTTTTCTTCTCTTTTCTTCTCTTTTCTTTTCTTTTACTTATTTTTGAGAGAGAGAAAGAGAGCATGCCACGTGTGCACAAGGGAGGGGCAGAGAGAGAGAGAGAGGGAGAGAGAGAACCCCAAGCAGACTCCACGCTGTCAGTGCAGAGCCCAACATGGGGCTGGAACTCACAAACCATGAAATCATGACCTGAGCTGAAATCAAGAGCCTGATGCTTAACTGACTGAACCACCTAGGTGCCCCAGTGTTGCCTGCATTTAGACAACTTAGTTTAGTTTATTATTATTTATTTTTTTAATTTAATTTAATTTTTAATTTATTTTTTATTTTTATTGTATTTAATTAAAAAAAATTTAACGTATATTTATTTTTGAGAGACAGAGGTAGAGCGTGAGTGAGGGAGGAGCAGAGAGAGGGGGAGGCACAGAATCCCAAGCAAGCTCCAGGCTCTGAGCTATCAGCACGGAACCCAACGCAGGGCTCGAACTCACTATGAGATCATGGCATGAGGGGAAGTTGGATGCTTAACCGAATGAGCCACCCAGGCGCCCCTAGATTACCGTTTATTTTAAATTGCCATTTTAAATTTATTTTAAATTGCCATTATTTTAAATTGTTATAGTTTATGTTCTTGGTGCTCAGTGTTTATTTTGATTAAGTTGTTATAGTTGAATCATCTTTAATGCGACTAATAGCATTTCACCATGAAACTGTTTCTTTTTGGTATACCATCATGTAAACTTAATAAAAAGAATCAAAGCTCTAAAAATATCCCTTATTTATAAATAAAGCTTCATTTGCCTTGTATTATGAGACATGTGTTAAACTCTTCCATTTGACTAGAAAATAGAGTTGAAATGTTTCATGGAAGGAGTGAGCTTGCTTTTTTTGTGTTTTGTTTTTTTGTTTTTCTGCAGAGGTCATTAAAATTCCTATACTTAAGTTTAATTATAGACTTACAGTCACATATCTTTTCATATCTCTATTTGTAGCTGAATCCTGGCTAGGGACAAATGGAGTCCTTAGATCTATCTTTATGCAACTAGCCAGCTGAAATCAGCCAATGTGCTTTTTCTTTATACAATGTAAAAGTTGCCTGCTGAATGCTCTTACATAGTTGATCTTCGTAATATTCCTTGGGTATAAGAGAGAGGGGAAACCCATGGCCACACAAAGTTGTTTATTGCCCTGACTGTTGAAGCAGCTAGTTCTAAGTCTGACTTCAGCTTGTACATTCTAACTAGCTTTACTCACTCCTGGAATTTCAGATAGGGCACAGGAGACAAGTGTTGATATTGGATTGGATTCTTTCCCTCCCTAGAAGATAGGTCTTTCTCTTTTAATCTAAACCTTAGATGGCAGTGACTCAGGCAGTAAAATGTCATTGGTTCCCTCTGAAACCAAATGCTTAAGGAAAAACAGTGGCTCCTGATTTGGGTTAGATTTAGGTGGTATCTTTACTGGGGCAAAGTGGTATCTGTTCTTTGGTTTCTGGTTAAAACAGCCAACTTGCGCAGTGCCTGGGTGACTCATTTGGTTAAGCGTCTGACTTCAGCTCAGGTCATGATCTCACGGTTCTTGAGTTCGAGTCCCATGTCAGACTCTGTGCTGACAGCTCTGAGCCTGGAGCCTGCTTCGGATTCTGTGTTTCCCTCTTCTCTCTGCTCCTCCCCCACTCGCACTCTGTGTGTGTGTGTGTGTGTGTGTGTGTGTGTGTGTGTGTGTGTGTGTGTCTCTCTCAAAAATAAACATTAAAAAAAACACAAAAAACCCATAGGGGCACCTGGGTGGCTCAGTAGGTTAAGCATCCAACTTCAAAGCTCAGGTCATGATCTCACGGTCCATGAGTTTGAGCTCTGTGCTGACAGCTCAGAATCTGGAGCCTGTTTCAGGTTCTGTGTCTCCCTCTCTCTCTGCCCCTCTCCTGCTCGCACTCTCTGTCTCTCCCAAAAATAAATAAACATTAAAAAAAAATTAAAAAACACATAGCCAACTTGTGTCTCCTGTTAGTATGTCTAGGTTTTACTTTGACGTAGTAGAGCCTAGTGATGAGAACAAGGCTCTAATTCTATATTGTTAGGAGTAGAACTAACTAATGTCTTACAGCTTGGTGGTACCTTAGGAGAGAGATCCTAATGGAACTCTTTTTTGTTTTGTTTTGTTTTTTAATAAAGAAATTAACTATGTTAAAGAAGGTTGGAAAATCAGGAAATTGTCTAAAACCCCATCACTCCAATGTGACAAATACTGTAAATTTTGTGTTCTATTCAAGTCTTTTTCCGCGGTGCATTCCTTGTAATTAGAGGTCTAAGTTAACGTTGCAGTGAATATCTGCCTGTCACTTTCCCCACATTCGGATTATTTTATTAGGATAACATCTCAGGGACAGAAATACAAAGTCAAGGCCAAAAGAAGCATTTTGAAGCAGATCAGTCGGGCTGCCATAGTATGCAGGCTGACTTGTATAGCTGCTTTTCAGTTTTACTTAAGGGTATGACTTAGAGGAACGACTACCAGACAAAGTAGAAAACATTTAAACGTGACAACTTCCTACTCAAGTAGACATTCATACCACTGGCTTAATTGTCTGGTGAGATGAGACAAGAACTGCAGGAGTAGCCTGGTTCCATTTACTTCTGAACAACTGCCTGGAATAGGCTGGAGGAATTGGGTTGTTTGAATTGTTCGAATGATGAGACTCTGAAGCAGCTTTGGCAGGAATCACTAGCCAATTCTGATTTTTTTCTTGGTTTTAGACCACAAAAGAAATTGCTGGAGAATCCACCTCATAGTTTCTTTTTGCTGTGTGTGATATCCCTCCAAGAGCCTATCCATTCTCATACTTTGTGATATTTCTTTGTGGATAACTTGCAAACATTGTTCTCCAGCCTTGGTCCTTCCCCAAGTTTTATTTCTAAATACCCACTTAGAAGCTTCAGCTCTTCTTCAGACTCTCCTTTTCCAAAAGACTTCATCTTCTTGCCCCAAATAGTACATGCCAGAAACCTGTTTCTGCCTATAGTGTCATCCTTCTCTTAGGCCCCTGGATTTGCAATTCGAGTCATCTTTGCTTCCTTTCTGAGTGCTACAGTACTCAATAGTCACTACCACACAGTTAGTACTTGTTCTGTGTTTAATGCACACTTGTTTTGTATGACCTCCAAGGGCAGAACTAAGATCAGTGGGTGGAAGTTGCAGGGAAGCAGATTTTGCCTCCATATAAGGAAGAATTTTTAGTACTTTGAGCTGTCTGAAGGGAATGGGCTGCCTCTAGAAGTCTCGGTTTCCCCACACTGAAGGTACTTGAACAGAGGTTACCTGGCTAATTGCTGAGAATGTTGAAAGGATTGTTCTGGCATCAGATGGTGTTTTTACAAGATGATTTCTAGAATCCCTCCTAATCCTGGCAGTGAAGGATTCAGTGGAAGGTAGCTTTGTTTCTCCTGCTAGATTAGATTCCCTTGGAACAGGAAAACTATTTTACCACTTAATTCAGGTGCTGGTTACGTAGTTACCTAAAACTGATTATTTGTGGGTTAATTGATTCTTTTCCTTTCATTTCCATATCTGGCTGGAGAGTAGATGGTATAGATTTTTTTTCTTTTGAAATATAAAAAATATTTTTTTCAGCAGCCCTCTCATTTTACAGCTGGATGAATAGCAGCTTTCAACCTTAGACCCTATTAGCTTCCTAGTTCAACCTAACCTAGACCTTAATATTGTCGCATTTTTCCAAATTGCATTCTGTTTATCAAATAGTACTTGTAAAAATGTTGCTTTCATCATATTACTCCTTCACTCAAAACCCTTAAATGGCTTCACACTTATCACAGCATCAGATTCAAATGCTGCCTGGCTTTCAGTGCCCTTCATTACCTAGCCTGCCTTGCTTATCCAGCCTTATTTTTCATGATGCTTGATGCTCTATGCAGATTAACCCACATAACATACTTTATGTGCCTAGCCCCCTTATTCTCTCCTCTTTGTGTCTGATTGCTCTAGAATGTCTTCCCTTTTTTCTTTTACTTTTTCTATCAGGATGCCCCCCTTTCTCCTGAAACCAGACTATCTCAAGGCGCCTGGGTGGCTCAATTGATTAAGCGTCCGACTTTGGCTCAGGTCATGATCTCACAGTTGGTGAGTTCGAGCCCCACATCGGGCTCTATGCTGACCGCTCAGAGCCTGGAGCCTGCTTCGGATTCTGTGTCTCATTCTCTCTCTGCCCCTCCCCCACTTGTGTTCTGTCTCTCAAAATTAAATAAAAATGTAAAAACAAACAAACAAAACAACCCCAGACTATCTCCAGTCCTCACTGATTTCTTCTCAACTCTCAGAACATATAGTAATTTATAGTGTCATTTAGAACCATACAACATTTTACAAAGAAAAAGCTCCAGTATATAGGCTGATACTGGAACTTTTCCTACTCTAAATGGAGTTAGACAATCTCTAAAAGAACTTTAAAAAACGTGTCACTAGTATTTATCCCATTGGCATTTTCATTTGTGTTGGCCTTCCCAATAAGAATGAAATCTTCTTGGGGCGCCTGGGTGGCTCGGTCGGTTAAGCGTCTGACTTCGGCTCAGGTCACGATCTCGTGGTCCATGAGTTCGAGCCCCGCGTCGGGCTCTGTGCTGACTGCTCAGAGCCTGGAGCCTGTTTCAGATTCTGTGTCTCCCTCTCTCTCTGCCCCTCCCCTGTTCATGCTCTGTCTCTCTCTGTCTCAAAAATAAATAAACGTTAAAAAAAAATTTTTTTTTTAATTAAAAAAAAAAAAAGAATGAAATCTTCTTGAGGGCAGATGCCATTTGCCTTCTATGTCTTCAGTAGCTGCTAAGTACAGTGCCAAGTACAGTACTAAGCACTTTCATTTTATAAGCATCTTCTGTGTGCCCGGTTGTTGTAGGTACTGCGAATTGGTGGGGCTGGTTGGGGGAGGAGAATGGATAGATTCCCATCTAAAGCCTGAATTCTAGCACAACGCATGTAGTGATAACATTTTACATTTAAACTGTATTTTAAGGTTCCCAAAGTGACTATTCCTCTCCATTGATCCTTACATCTCTGTGTGCTAGGTAAGGACTCATTAAATGACAGTCCTTTAGTTATACAGTTAATACATGGCAGAGCTGGGACTCAAAGCTTGGTCTCCTGAATCCTAGTTTTTTCTTAGACTTCTAAAATTAGGACTGTTTCCCTTTCTGAAGCTTTTACGATGAATGCCTAAATAGTTGGGATTCTGTACATTCATTTATGGAGGCTTACTTTTAGTTATTGGCTATTGTCAATCAGAAGTGGCAAACAGGGACACCTGGGTGGCTCAGTCGGTTAAGCGACCGACTTCCAGCTCAGGTCACAATCTCCCGGTTTGTGAGTTCGAGCCCCGCATCAGGCTCTGTGCTGACAGCTCGGAGCCTGGAGCCTGTTTGGATTCTGTGTCTCCTTCTCTCTCTGCCCCTCCCCCACTTGTGCTCTGTTTCTATCAAAAATAAATAAATGTATTAAAAAATTAAAAAAAAAAAGAAATGGCAAAGAACAAGATCAGGCAGGGCTATGGTTTTCTACTTTGGCAACTCTAAATTCTTACGGAAAAGCCTTATTTTAAACATTTGCCTTCCAAATATGTGTCATCTAGCCTATGAAAAAATATTGGTCTCCACGGAGAAAATTGAAAGCAGAGAAATTAAAAGCTGCTAATAATGTTAACTGAAGACACGGTGAAGAGCCCTTGAACCCACAGTAATGTGCTCAGCAAGCAGTAGGGGCTGGATGCTGTGATGAATTGCATAGTCACTTAATTTCTTAAAAGCCATGTGGAGTGGTGGGAAGAGCCTCAGACTAGGATTCAGAAAATTTGTGTTCATGGCCTAGGTTATCTGCCTCTACCCACTGGTTGTTTCATATCTGGGAAGCTTTTTAACTTGAGTTTCTTCATTCTAAAGATGGGGATCAGTATCTTCATACCAGACTCTAGAGAATTATTTTAAGTCTTACAAGCATCAGATTGAGGATGTAAAGCACTTACAACTATAGGGGACTATTTTTAATTACTGTTATATAATCTAATAAGGTTATTTTCTTATGATACTTTGAAGATCTCAATATCAGTGTGGTATGTGCCTAAGAAGGTAGCATTTATTTGAAAGATGGGAGTATTTGTAAGATCCTGCAGATAGGCGAAGAGGAAAAAAAAAAGAAAGGTAAAACAAGTCTCCCCAGATTTGTCAGAGAGAGAGAGGAGAGAGCCAGACTTGTTTTGAGGGGAGAAAGGTTAAAGAACCTGTAATAACCTACTGTATTTATAGTGCTTACTACATTTATAGTACTGGAATTACAAACACAAGACATGGTCCCTCCCTAGGGTGGCTGGTTGCCTATTAACTATTAAATAAATGATTTTAAACCTGTATATTAAATGTGTGGTAGAGGTAAGTGAACAGTGTTATGGCCAAATTGGAAATGTTTCTTGGAGAGGTGGTACCTTAGCTGAGTCTTAAAAGGCAGTAGGAATTCTAGAGAGGGGGCAGATTAAGAAGGAAAAGCATACCAAACTGGACAGGCTTCCTGGAGAAGGTAGCACTTGAGCTGAATCTTAATAGGCAAGTAGGATTTATGAGATGCAACAGCAACCAATCAGAGTGGATAGCATGAAGCCTCAGAAATGAGAGAAAGCATGCTTCTTTCTGGAAAATGAAAGTAGTCCTGGGTGACTATAGTGTGTTTAGAAGGGTGTGGTAAGAGATAAAACTAGAGAAGAGTGGTGGGAGATAAAGCTGGACCAGATATGGAAATCCTTATTTGGACTTTACTCGGAATGTCCTGGGGAGTACTGAATGATATTAAATATAAGGCTATCTTAATTACATTTGCATTTGGGAAGGATTATGATGGTAATGTGGAGAATGGATAAACAGGGTGTATTTCTGTAATTAGGGGATACTAGCAAGGAGGTTATTGCAGTAATCTAGAAAAAGTCATGAAGACCTGATTTCTGACAATCAGAATGAAGGCAAGGGCATCTATTCATGAGATAAACAAGATAGAGCCTGTGGATTTTGATAACTGAATAGACTTGGGGGAGAAAGGAAGAAGATAATTTAGTTAACTCTTATGGAATTCTTGCTATTTTTCAGGACTGGGTCCAGTACTGCTACATGTATAGTTGACCCTTGAACAACACAGGGGTCAGGGGTGCCAACCTTCACCAGTGCAGTCAAATATCTGTGTATAACTTTTGACTCCTCCCCCCATCCCCACCCCCTCCAATTTAACCACTAATAGTGTACTACTGACCAAAAACCATACTATAAAATAGTTTATTAACACATATTTTGTATGTTATGTATACCATAATACTGTCTTCTTACAATAAGCTAGAAAAGAAATGTTACTAAGAAAATCATAAGGAGGGGTGCCTGGGTGGCTCAGTCAGTCCAACTTGATTTTGGCTCAGGTCATGATATCATGGTTGTGGGATTGAGCCCCACATCAGTGAGGAGCCTGCTTGGGATTCTCTTTCTCCACTCCACAAGCATACACTTTCTCTCTCTCTCTCTCTCTCTAAAAAATAAATAAACATTTTTTTCTTTATTTTTATTTATTTATTTTTTTTAATTTTATTTTCAACGTTTATTTATTTTTGGGACAGAGAGAGACAGAGCATGAACGGGGGAGGGGCAGAGAGAGAGGGAGACACAGAATCGGAAACAGGCTCCAGGCTCTGAGCCATCAGCCCAGAGCCTGACGCGGGGCTCGAACTCACGGACCGTGAGATCTTGACCTGGCTGAAGTCGGACGCTTAACTGACTGCGCCACCCAGGCGCCCCTAAACATTTTTTAAAAAAATCATAAGGAAGAGAAAATACATTTACAGTATCGTACAAAATTCCTGTGTAAGTGGGTCTGCGCAGATCAAACCTGTGTTCAAGGGTCAAATGTATTTCCCCTTTATTCTCACTTTAGCCCTTTGGATTTTGTACTGTTGTCTCCATTATATAAATAAGGAAGCTGAGACTCAAAGTTTGCTAACACTCATTAGTCATAGAGCCAATGAGTAGTGTTATTCAAACCCTCAATTATCTGTCTTCTCAAAAGACCATGCTTGTAACCACTATACTATACGGCCTAATAGTTCCCAGGTTACTAACTTGGTCAATCAGGTGATTGGTAGTAGTGCTGGATTGCCGAGACAGTGGGGGGCGAGGTGTGGGAAGACCATGAGTTGTTTTTGAGACATTTCAGTTTGAGATCCCTTCGGAATAGCCAGGAGGGGTGTCTAGGTGGAAGCTGGATTTCAAATTATAAATTCCAGAAGAATGGCTTGAGCTGGATATGCTGCTCTGGGAGTTGTTAGTCTCTAGGTGGTTGTGATCATGCCACTCTGGAAGGAGGCTGGATGGTACGGTGATAATGGTAGTTGAAGGCTTGGGAGTGGACATGACCACCTGAAAAATACGAGTATGTGTGTTGGGGTGGAGAATGAGACGCGGTGTGTCTTTTGGTTCCTTCAATTCTGGATATTCTTTCCCATAACATCTCATATTTCACCCCACCTCTACCCAAAACAAAAAACTAAGTACTGTTCTATGTTTGGTTAATGGTAGAATGAGATTACCTATAAATGATAGCTGTATTATCCTTTTACATTCTGTTTAAGTTAGACAGCAATGAAAGCTTACAAATACAAGCGAAATGTGGGAAAAAAAGGAACTGAAATCTCATGAAGCTGTATTACTAAGCTGTTAAGATGGTTAGGTGTTCACCAACCCTGGCAGCCATTAGAGACACTTGTCCTATGTTTTCCATGTTAACAGTGGCCTCAACCTGGAGCATCCATGGTATATGAAGGAATATAACCAGTATATCAAATGTGTAGTAGAGATAAGTGTACAATGTTATGTGGTTGTATCTATCTTTTTAACATTTTATTTTTAAGTAATCTCTACACCCAACATGGGGCTCAAACTCATGACCCCGAGATCAAGAGTTGCATACTCCACTGACCGAGCCAGCCAGGTGCCCCCAGAATGGGTGGTATCTATTAATGGAAGATAGCTTGGGAGTTTATTGTGTTCCTTGCCTTTTCCTCTGGCATTTATAGAGGGTGGCAGATTATATGTGAATCTGTCCCTGGACAGTCAGTAATTTGAGAACTCAGGTGGCGGTGCATAACATGATTGCTTCTAGTCTGCTCCATTTGTGAGTAGAACAGAGACTTGGAGGCTTCTGCTGCTTCTCCAGGCCAGGGAATGAAAAGGTTTATTTGGTTTACCTTCACATTTTTTTCTTTGATTCTTTTTTAAACAACATTCTCTGGTTGGGCCCAGAGAGACCAGAGCCAACACACTGGAAAAAATGGACAGGGATTATGTTGTCTTCCTTACTTTGTCTTGTCAGCTGCTTATCTTGTCCACAGGGAGGGCAGTATGTTAGATTGAGATAGTCTGACATGACATCTTTGGGGAAATTGTAATTGCTGTGGTCATTTTAGGCAATTTCAAGGGTGTTGGGTTCATTCGGCTTCAGTTACCTGAACTAATTAATGTTTTGAAGTGGAATCTCCAAGTCAAGGCTTTGTCTGAAATGTCACTGACTGATTTTTATATCACTTATGGTGTCAACCATTTCATGTGGATGTGTGTTGAAAACATTTAATGATTATGAACTTTCAGAATACTTGTCCCTCTGGAGTTTGGGGATGCTATATTTCAGGTTCATTAACTTCATAAATATTTATTGAACACCTTCTACCTGCCAGGTAGTGGTCTGGATGGTAGAGGATAATAGGCAACAAGCCGGAGAAGTACCTTTCTGGGGTAGAGCTTACTTTCTTTAGGATTTAGACGTTGAATGAGACTAATTTCAGATAAATTAGTACTTGTGAAAGATCTGTAAAAAGCTCTTCTGGATGTGTCTATTTTTCCCTACTGCAAATCTGGATCATACCCATCCTCTTTTGTGAAGCTTGGCTCAAGTGGCAGCTTCTCCATGCTATCCTCTCTTGATTCTTTCAGCTGATGCGCTCTTCCCCTTCCTAAAATTCTGTTATTTTCTGCAACATTCTTGTGTTATCTTCACATATTTTTTTCTATTTGTAGTTGTTAGGGTACACGTCAAATAACTACTGTCAGACTAAGTTATTGAGGGCAGAATAAATACCCTATTCATCTTGGTTTTCGGCATTCCATATGTGGGCAGCAGGATGTTGCAGGAAAAAAACACTGAATTTAAAGCCAGATGACTGGAACTAAAGTGCTGGCTTTCCTATTAACTAGCTATGTGACAGTAGGTAAGTCATTTAACTTCACTGTAATTACGTTTCCTATCTCTAAAGAGTATGTTGATTAACCTTCCATTCCTGAATAGTTGTTGGGAGGCACAAACTGAGATAATATATTGACCATACTGTGTAAATTCTAAATTCTGGCATAAATACTTGGTGTTGTCATAGTAAATATTCAGTAAGTATTTGAATGGGGAAACATTTGCTTTCAGTGAACACCTTTTCCTGGGTAGCTCTCTTGCTTAATGAGGTCTTGATGATTTTGCAAATATGTTCATCTGTTTTTCATCTGGTTTTATTATTAAATGATTCTGTTCTTCCGAATTGGCATCTTCGTCACCCCGTGAGTATTCTGTCTTTTCTCCTTAGGTGCTATGTACTATTAACACAAGTGACATGTGATCTCCTTTAGCAGGTCGTACATTATGGCTGACATGCAAAATCTGGTAGAAAGGTTGGAGAGGGCAGTGGGCCGCCTGGAGGCAGTATCCCATGCCTCTGACATGCACTGTGGCTATGGAGACAGTGCTCCAAAAGGTAAGCAATATGCAGCACAGCAGAATACTTTGAATGAAGACTCTGTCTTCGCCTGAAATTTTTCTGTCGTAGGGTATTCTCTCCTTTGGAGCTAACTTCCCAAAATGCTTAATCTGCTAAGTTCATCGCCTGTGAACAGATAAGAGAGGAAGTGACTTGTGCAGGGAGGCCTGTGGTTATTTTAACATAAGAACTTCCTGCTTGTGTGATATTTCCTGTTCTTTCTTTAGCAAAATGACTCTAGTGTAAGTCGAGTGACAAGTGATATTAAAACTCTGTCCAAATGATTGGCAAATTAGCCATTTTGTATATGCACCAAATGAATCATAGAATGTTAGAGCTAAAAGGGAGATTGGGGTTTTTTTGTTTTTGTTTTTGTTTTTGTTTTTCATTTTAATTTTATAGATAAAGTCAAGCTCGAGGAGGAAAAGGAACTTGGGGTCACACAGGCAGTTAGTGGTGGTACTGGAACTATAACCCAGGTTTCCGGACTCGTGTTCCAGTATTCTGTTTACTGTATTACCTTGCTTCTCCACTTTCATGTGGAAGTGCTTTTTAAAAATCATCTTTCTGGGGCGCCTGGGTGGCGCAGTCGGTTGAGCGTCCGACTTCAGCCAGGTCACGATCTCGCGGTCCGGGAGTTCAAGCCCCGCATCAGGCTCTGGGCTGATGGCTCAGAGCCTGGAGCCTGTTTCCGATTCTGTGTCTCCCTCTCTCTCTCTGCCCCTCCCCCGTTCATGCTCTGTCTCTCTCTGTCCCAAAAATAAATAAACGTTGAAAAAAAAAAATTTAAAAATCA